GCAGTAAATTATGGGCGGATGCAGAACCAGAATTATATGGGTAAGACTTTTTTCAATCAGAGTTCTTTTTTAAAATGAGCTTTTGGACTTTAAGCAGTGAACATTCATAAGAACAGTATATTCTTTGCAAACGTTTAAATCCCAAAGCCTCCTTTTCACTTCAAATCCTCTTTTGCATCTAAAAAGTTTTCACAAATCAATTATTAAACTATGGATTTCCTGATCATCGATATTTTTTAGGAGATTCAAGAAACCAACGTTGTGCATCTCCTGCAAGCGAACGATTTGGAAATAATCGTTTTAGCGTTCCCAACGCGAAGGGACCTCAACATCCTGATCCGTATTACGCAGCAGAAAGAGGCGCGCCACCACCTCCTGGTTATCCATCACCTCATGATCCAGTTTATGGAAGTAATTTTGAAAACAAGCGAGAAGAGTATATGCCTAGAGATTGGAACGAAAGAGATATGGATGAGAGCACACGCAGAGATCCTCGCAGACAACCGAATAATGAAGGTACGAGTACTAATTTTAATGGATTCGATCGAGTTGATATCTATTTTATAACATAAACGCACAATGCGGGAGTAGAAAATCATACCAGACGTTCACGTCTAGTTCAAAAATTTTTCTGACAATGGTCCGCAGTGACTGTTCTGAGGTCAGTACGTATATGTCCTGTGATGGCAGTTGTGCACGGGGACTTGATTGAGAGTTGCAAGCAAATTTATGAAAAAACGTGATGGAAGTAAATCCATTGTTTTAAATGCTATTCATTTAATTCAAGGTATTCTAACTTGAAGGTAGATACCCTCAAACTCGTGGAAGTGATGACGATCGACGGCAAAGGCGTTTCTCAATTCCATCAGAACCGAAAAAGTTCGAGTGTAAACATGTGTACCTGATGAATACCACAGATGTTCCAACATATGAGAATGTGGGTCGTTTTGGTTGATTATCGCTATCAAATTATAGAAAATTTCTGCAAGGTATATGATATTGTGCCACATCTCTCTATTTCCAAAGCTGAGCTCTTGTAATTCCCTGATTAAAT